TCTCGCTGTATGTGCGTCACTGTTGTATCGTATTTGTATATATTTGATAATTACTTACAGGCACTTTGCGAATTAAGTAAGTACAGTTGTTATAATACGTATTTGTTTTCAGTGAGAATGCACGTGTTACACGAATTAAATTGGACAAAATTAGTATACGAACCGCTGCACAAGTTTGAGACACAGATCATATCAACGAAAAACATACAAGGATACGACAGCAAGAATACGGAACAGTGGTCATTAACAGGCGCGCTTTTATACTCGGTCACAGTTATTACAACAATCGGTAAGCGTATACGAACATTAAATGTGTTTCTTGATCGTATATTTTATAAATTATAATTGGTATTTTTAGTATTATTATTCGTTATCGTTACGGAAAAACGATTTTAAATTAAATTAGAAACTGAAAGCTGCACAGACCGCCACGTAGTATGCATTTGATACATCATGGTGAGACGTCTCGAACTTTAATTTTGAATCGATCGTTTTGTGAACTTTATTGTTTAATGCTTTTGATTRAAATTATTTCTATTTAYATAAAACAAAGATTGTTTTAAATTTTTCAGTCAAAGTCTATTGCTTAGCTAAGTAAGTTTTGTGTGATCAAAATTTCCCTTTTAAATAAGGAATAAACGAATTATAATGTTTGTAATTACGTATAGAGATGTATTTCAGTAGTTTAAATAAATTACCAAGATAAACAATTAATATTTTAAGGAAATAACATAAATAATTATCAGAATTATGTCATTCAATCACCTAAGTTATACAATTTATAAAATAAAGCAATCAAATTATCAAGCAGCTCTCAGAAATAATAATTATAAATTTAAAATATATAATAATTAATAAGTATTATAGTTATAATATAGCTATTTACAATGATGCAGATACGTTTATTTTATTCATAGAAAAAAAGAGAGGCACAAAATTTAATTTATTTTAATGTTTTTAACTTTTTAAATTATATAATTCTATCTACATTTTATATCGTTTAATKTTTCTAAAYTAAAACATTGAACATTATAAAAATATAATGTACTGTAATTAACTTAGTATGTTCAGATTTCCCTAAAATAAATGCGATTAAGATGAACATATTAATATTTAATTGGCTCGTTAATTTATATTATAATAAATAATATTAATGTGTTAATGTGTCGCAATACTYTTTTCGTAACCCATTAATAATACATTTTAGATGCTTTTGTAACTTTGGTTTGAATAGAAAGTATATGCAGTATTATCTAATTTGATTAAYTAAGTAGATATGAAGACAAAAAATGATTTGAAAAAATAAAGACAACTTGTAATACTTTATAAGCTACTGTTTTGTATTAACTGCAACAAAGGGATGTTTGTAATTTAATTAAAAACAATAAAATATTAATAATGCAA